TTGGAACCAGCAACGAGGTAGCGAAGCACTTCTGCCCGCCAAGCTAGGCATTCGTGTTCACGTTTAGCTCGGCTACGACGGATTCGCATTGTCGACGGAGGCGATGATCACAAAATCCCACCACCAGAATCACCGCTACAATTTAGTGCCATGATTTTGGTATCGCCTGAAACCGTAGCGTTGTGCATCACCTTACTCATCTCTGGCATTAGTAGCCAAAACTATCGAAAATGCTTCTCCCTAAAATACATGTCTAGAGTTGATGATTCCGCCAAAGGGCGTGGAAGTAGAATTCACTAAACTATGTCTAACAATTGCATTTTCGAGGAGAGTATTTGTATTAATTCTGATAACTTCTCACCAGATGTTAAGCATCTGGGATAATTCCGGAAAATTCCGCTAGGGCCGGAAGCGTAAAACAGCTAAGGCTGCTATCAAAAACAGTCCAAATCCCAAAGATCCGAGGACTCAATAATCTATAAACGAGAAGCACGTACGTTACACCATTTCGCCGCAAACCGCGAACGACCATCTTCGTTGATACACTCTGTAATAAATGTAGCAATATAAATAAAAAATTGAGTCAAATTAACAGGTGAAAGTTATACTTACTCATCAACTACATTTATTCAAATAAAACGATATATTTGATAATTCTTATTTATTTCTAATAGAATTTATGTGGCATCTTATAAATATGCTTAATTCTCTTAAAATGCTAACCTATCGTATACTTCCTATTTTCATATAACAAGAAATTTGAAGAACTGCCACGCATAATGTACGTCAGCATTTACATTTTAATATCAGATCATTCCGAAGGAATAGACAAATCTGTATTCACCTTAAGTACATCATCTACGTACGATAAAATTTGTAAGAATTCATAATATGAATTATAAGAGAACGCCAAAATAAATAATACATCAACATAGAATTAATAGAAATTTGCCTTATACAAAAACAGTACTTGGAAAACTAAATTCCAACTGAATAGTTAATCAGGAGTGGTATTAATGAATCGATGCAATAAAGAGGAATGTATTAAATATTATTTATTTAGTATCATAGTCATCAGTCAGTGTCGCGTAGCATAGCAGACTGGCAATTAAAATATTGTTTGGTAATACAAAATTCTCATATGCTACATGTATACTCGTAATACTAATTTGATGTATGTACATTAGCAAATGTATATCAACGTTGCACTTTATGCTAAACTCACATGAACGTCGAATTTCGCTCTTGTACGGACAGTGCATCATTAAAGTTTCGCGCTAAGGTTGGCCAGGAGAATTAGAGAGCATGTGCCACAAGACCACTTTGCTGCTGTTATTATTATTGCTGTTAATCAACATATCCACGAATCCATTTTCGAATTATCCAGACAAAGATATATACATTCCGCCAAAAGTTTTATTCGAACTTCCCCAACACGTCGGAATAACCCTTACCTATAATACTGATCCACCTAGCATTTATAGTACCTCTACTTTTCACATTATCAACAGGGATCAACTGCCTGATCATTCTCTTCCTAAAATGTTAGGGAGAAGTTCGTTCGATATCGCCGATCAATAATAATCCATTAAAGGACACAAAAAACGCTCCCTTGTCGTTGCCAAATGCTAATACTCGTTCGTTAATTATATCCCTATAAATATAGAATACAAAAGAGAAAGGAAAAAAGAAGCAATATGTAAAATCAGTGATTCTCGTTTCCTATCGATTAACGAGGAACAGGAAACGGACGTGCGCGGCCACAGGACGGCAGCAATTAATATTACCAGGTCGCTGGTACTGGTCTCGACTCTCTCTCGTCCAGATGCACGATGCTCCCTACGATCTTCGTCGAATCCATTTATGCAAGAAAAATCCCATCGGTTCATGACAGGTGGAATAAAGAAGACGTCGATGGCGACGTCGATGGCAACGGCTGTACCGGATGCTGCTCTCCGGTTCTCAAGGTCCACTTGTAACACTTTTGGCTTGGAGATAGCACTTAGCGGCACTTGTTGCAGGTACGTGTGCACAGGTACACAATAGATGATGCTAGCTCAGTTAAGTCGGCCCGAGTATGGTCTCTCTGGGATTCGGGGAGGAATATTGGGTACAGGACGCCTACAACATAGATACAATATAAATAATAATAGCTACTTAAGATGGATTATCGAAAGTTAGTCTTTGTACAATATAAAACCAAAAAACAAGCAGTGTAACGAGTGATTTGACAAATAAAATTATTTTCGTCCAAATAACGCCACACGGATTTTCATTAATTTAGGTCGGGTTGCCCGCAAGAAGGAGACACCATGGAGTTAAGGACATTTGCAAAACATGCACAAACCAGCGACAATCCGTGCATCGGAGGACGAACAGAGATGAGAGGGGAAAACAAAAAACTTAAAGGACTTCTCCAGAGAACCAAACTCAACGATAGGAATAATCTGTACTAGCTAACTAGCATGCCTAATCAATTTCTCTCAGAGATTGACTGACCTCCTTCGTCGCTCTCTTGGAAGTCCCTTAACCTCTTTACTATGTATTCCTCATTACAGGGACGTAGTACATTGGCGCATTCACAATGAGGAATGTGGAGCAGTGTTAAGGATTAATTATAAGACACAAACAGAAGAGACGCAGCCGAATTATTAATAAATACATTCGGATGCGTATCCGCTGTTCATAATGCACGCTCGTTAGTTATATCTTACTCGTTTAATATTCTATAACATATTATTACCTATATACACATTTATATTGCGATAATCGGTGTTTGTGTATGTGTCAATCTGTCATGTGTACCTCCTCCTCGCACGTATGGATATTCTTACATTGATATCCACGAGATAATCGGCAGGACGGAATCTGCTCCACGTGTGGAAATTTCATAAAGATTCATCGCCTCGAGAGAGGCTCTTTATCGTAGAAATTCCGGATTATCGATATCAGCCTCGATAACCTACAAACGTGGCTCAGATCACCCTGACGAATGTCCCCAGAGAGATTTCCATCGTATATTCTAGCTTGAACGACTCTACGTAGCGTTCACTCTAAAAGTTATCGCACTTTGCAAATATTCAACTCGGTACAACAATACTTGGCCAACGTGTTACGCCGCGGTAAGCATCGATAACTAGCTTTTTTTTTTTTATTACGTAAGGCTTTAGGATGAAAGCATATAACGCGTTCCTGCACTGAGTCCAGACTGTGAGATCGCAGGGACGTTTCGGTAACAGATGGAAAAATTTAGTCGATGCGTTTACATGTAATCGCGATTCAACCGAAATACTTACACTGTACACGGCTCTGACGGGCACACGAGTAGCAAATACAGGCAGAATATTAGGATCTTAGGCTCGAAGAGGAATGTCAGAGTGGACGTAGATATGAAGTGAAAAGTCAAGGAAGAACGAGCACGACGATTAGGGGAATGCAAAATGATCACGAGTTCAAAGTTGAATATCCACAAATGAATTTAACTTCCTTTCGGGGACTGAATTTTTCCCTTTTGCCGCACAAAACTACGTCCTACTATACGACCTACCTACGTAGACGATTAAATATCTCTGCCCTTCTCACGCGATTCTACAATATATGCCAACGTTACTTTTTCTTCTTCTTTAATTCACCCCAAAATTTTCAATTATTCAAGCAATCCGATATACAATTACGGTGCATCAACATTGGCGCGACTAAAACTTCAATTTGCTCAAACCTTCATCTGCATCTTGTGCCCTGATAAAACACGTGTCTCAACTGTCACTGGATAATTAATCATCCCCAATCCCTTTGCGCCTTGTCAAAATTTCTCAACTTGATAATAAATTTAACAGCTAAGCCCTTATGCGGAATGTTAACGAACGACGTTTCTCTCTTTGAGAAAAAAAGATATTTTTCGATTATAATTGACTTACAAATACTGAATGACCGACAACGAAATCGCCACAACGCGGGACGCGGTTTAGAATATTTTTTATTTTTAGTATAGTTCAATCCTACCACCGTGTCTTTTCGTTGTTCGATCTTCCCTCTCGTCTCCCGGTCGCCATGCTGTACTTTCCCTATGAAACGTTTTCCTACTCTCCTACAGACCCGAGAGAACGAACGAGCGAATAAATAATAAATTCTTACGAGCTCTTTCTTTTCCTTTCTTTTCAACAACTTGATATGCCTTAAGAAACAATATTCTTGTCGATAATTGGCGGCTTTTCGTAAGAAGCAATGCTTACTCTGTAATAGTTATCGATCTCGCTAAGATTCCTGACTAGTGGCGCCACTTTTGTCCACCTAACGCAACGGTGACTCATTTGCGCACTACGAATTCTTCTAGCTACGTCATGATTTTACCACGCGAGTCCAATCATCGTTAATGTGGCAAGATTGCTCGGCATTACTAAAAAAAAAAAAACGATATACACCTTACACTGTACAATTATCATACGAATAATTTTACTTCTGGCTGTACGTAGCAGCTCTCAAGGTATAACGTACAGGACTCACGTCGCTTTAATTAATTACAGAGTTATACCAGACGTCAATAAGGAGACTTAAGACAAGAAAGAGTAGGACTGTGACAAATATGCATTTTTTCTTTTTCGCACAATTCAAAAGATTCAAACTGGAAACCCTTCGATTACTGGACGTAGTTAAAAATAATTTCCAATTAGCATTGCGATTAACGATTTCAAAAGTACCCGCGTCGCGATGCCCGACCATCTTCGACTTACACGGTTCATAACGAGGACGCAGGAAGGAAGCAGTGAAAAGACAAAAATTATCATATTTTCTATACCTCCTGGAAAATTGTGAACGTCACACGGTATATACATATACCGGGTAGTCACGCAGGTATTCGAGGGACTCTGGAAACGATGATTATTTACTCTTAATATTCGTTAGTGTCGTTAGTAGCGCTATTAGATACAGATCAAAATATTCGCGAATCCGGGATTTTCATGCAAAATCCACGAAGCGTCTACGCTATTATATCACATCCTATGTCTGAGCATATCTCTTTTTTTTTTTATTACTTTTTCTTTCAATTAATCATCTCATACGTATTTTTTATTTAACGTACACAATATAGTATAAGGGAAACTTTACACAGCACGAACAATGATTGCGATTCAAAGTACTGAAATTCCGTATCGCTGTTTCCGCTCTGTTTTCCTCTTTATTTTTCTTACTTTTTATACTCGTGCTTTGCCTTAGTCACTGATAGACTCTGCTTTACGGCTAAAATCGTTAACGCTCAATAAGCAATAATGATCTTTTATACAACTCGCTGCTAATCAAAGTCCAATTTTCATCCAACAGCATGACATTGTTCGAACTTACATAGACATACGTGAGGTACGATTCTTATTTTCTCTTTACATTCCTCGTATATTTTTCTCTCGCATAACAGAGATCTTACTATTCTCGATTATATGTGTTTATATATATTATTTATCTATATGAGAACATTTCCTATATTATCGGAATGTCGATTCGACACGAAATTACGCGAGAACTTCTGTCAGACTTTTTGGGACTGCAGCTCTTTACATCCACGTCCCACGTTCTAATCCTTAGTCTATGGGCGAATAGCTCAAAGAATCCGTCATCGATTGCAATGTTATTTCTCTCGGTGATTCAGACATCAGTGAAACTCTGATTTATCAATAGACAGACTGATCGTACAATGATTCAGAAAATCGATCGCCAAGATAAAGCAAAATAAAAAAAATCATATAAATCATCCTTACACAAGCCACACGAACCGTTTCCCCGATCTATCCAAAGCACGTGCCTGTGCGACTCTTTGTTAATGAAAAAAAAAAACCCATAAAATTTAAAAGGTTTTCTCTAATAAAAAAAAAAAAAAAAAACGAACCATGCACATAAGAAATAACTGTTAAACAGAGAGAGAAATAAAGAAAAAGAAAAGATCGGTTAAATTTATCCAGAAAGTCTACCGTCTACTAGAGTTAAGTAACAAGAATTATCCATTGCAATCAATAGGGATTTCAAAAGTCGAAGATGAAGCGCTACGTTATTTTTCAACATTTTCACAATTATTTACTTGATCCTGAATGCATCCATGAGCTCGTTCACAGCGGCATTAGCAGCAGCCTGTGTAGCAGCCTGCGTCACCCTCTGCTGTAGACCACCCCCGCGACTAAACACATATCACGAAGACTCACGGTCAGCTTCGACTGACAGACTTCCAAACCGTATAAAGCCTCCTAATTAAAGGCAAAACTTCCTTATCCGAATGAGACGCACCGATATTATACAAGGCAGCACCGCCACCAGAGTCATGCATTGGTTTTTCGTTTCGGAAAAAAAAAGAAAGAAAATAATAATAATATCCTATCGGTGCATCTTCTTCGGTCCTTATAATATATTGCATAATTAATTGTGACTAGTGTCTCGTGTGATTATACCGTGTAATTATTATAAATTTCATGCAGGCACCGACATGTCTCATTTTCGATAATACGACCGACCAACAATGAGTTAGAGACGCACGAATCACGCAAATGTACCATGAGATACCATGAGAGGAATGCAGGAAGGAAGGTTTCGCTTTAAAAGGAACAAAGCCAGCACACCATATTCGATATCTCTCGAGTAAGTTATGTCAGTTTTTTAAATTTAATCCTTTAACCGGGGATCAATGTCATGCTGTTAGTGAGGACCTTGAACAGCCAACAAAGGAGAACAAAGCCAAAAACTTGTTCGCCGAACATTTTACTCGTGTCCATGTCCAGTATTATATACAGGCATCATGTACAATTAAGAGTATACAGGTAACAGGTCATCGAACAGACTGATGTAGAATGAAGAGGCGAGTCGATCCTATCCGTTATTTCATTATATAATGGAGAAAGAAGAACTCGCAACTGTTAGTCAAATAATTGGACTATCGACTAGTGCAAACAGTACCGTTAGAATTACTAATAGGGATATGCAGATCTCTGTTTCCTAGTCAAACACGTGTCGTTTAGCCGACGAAAGGATATTAGGTTGTCTTTAACGTGTTTCCTTTGTTTTTAACAATTTCGAAAGCGAACGACACAGGCGAGCGTCAAAACGAATCAAGGCAGGAATGTTCGTTCGTATAGAGAACCGCATAACCCCAATAACATTAGTCTCGTGAGATACTTATCCATATGCAGATAATGAATACAATTTTGTGAGAACACGTTAAGTATTAAATGTTTTATGAGCTATATGCAACAAGTATATATAATTTTATATATATATAAGTGGTGTGTACTCTGGTGTTTGTATATATAATATGTATTTGTGTCCTATCGATTAGTAGCAAATAGGTGTTAGTGCGAAGACTTATTGTCGGCGCCTGCAATAGAAAGTGATGTTAGCACCAAAAGCCCCAAAATGCAACAAGCTAATGTCCAATACAACTTCACGAGAACCCAGTGCTGTTTCATTGAAATAATATAAGCATCCCAGTGGCTGGACACCTAACGTTACATGACCTGTGCCCGAACGTTTACAAGAAACCGTATTTCCATCTCTCTCGCACGCACGCTTTTTCCAGTAACTTGGACGCGTCTGGCCACTGGGACGTTTACCTTATTATACCAAGCACTTCGGCAAGCACGTATCGAGTACGAGAAATGGATGAGAGAGCCACTTGGATTTCAAAAACGCGAATCCCCTCATACTGGGTCCAAAGATAGTTTGATAATCCAAGAGCGAGGACGCACATGATCCTAGAAGTCTATCGTATTAGAAAATAGAATATCTGTACTTACGATGGTATCAGGGGAGGAGGTAGGCCGGGCGTCGAACGCGCTGGTGGCGCTCCACCGGGTCCAGGTCGATTCGGAATCGCTGGAGCAGGTCGTCCACCTCCAGGTACGGGAGGTGGCGCTCGCGAGCTTCCCGTCGGCATTGGCTGTGTTACGCCACGTCTTGGTCCACCAGGAGACGGCGGGGATAATCTGTAACAAGAATTTTCGTTTGTGTGATTGTTCCTATTGATTTTTTTGTTCGATTCGCTATGAAATAATATAATCAATGCATAGTTTGCATGTTTTGATATACCCACGTGATGAGTGTTACTACGATTTCTAAGGAATGCGGTGAGAATAAAGAGAACCACTGAATCTTACCCAAGACTGTAGCGTTCACGAACGAATGTGTGAGTGTGGTAAAAGCGGACAGTAAGAAGATGAACAATAGTAGATTAGTAGAAAAGTAGTGTTGACGAATACATTAATGGATGATTTCGTTTTACCTGGGATTTTCGGCCGACGCCAACCAGTCGTTCTTCACAGGTGGTGGTACAGGCGTCGACACGGTGGCCATAGAAACATCCCCGATGATACGAAGTGCTTCCTTGCATGCATGGTACATGCGCAACATTTCTTCTCGCTTCTGAGCCTCCTCGGGAGACTCTTCCATCATTGAGGCCTACAATTTAGAAATGTACGACAAAATTTAATTCCTGAAGGTGATGCATTACGATAGATTAGTTAGTAGATGCGATGACAGTTTGAAATGGAAGTTAGGAAAAAATGTAACTAACGGAACAGGGTCTTACAGCAAAGGGATAAAAAAAATTCTTCAAAATATGTAACTCATCATCGGATAACTGGGACAGGATACTTGTATTTATAATGGAAGAAAGGAATTTCAATAACTTCATCCATGTATCTTACCTGGTCGCCGCTTGCGTACAGATGTGCCAGTAGCTCGCCATTGATGAAATCTTTCGCATTGTTAATGATCAGATGCATAATGGTCTTTGGAACAAGATCACGAGTAGTTTTGGTGACGATCTTCATGTAGGAATCTACCAAATTCCTGATTGTCTCGACTTGACGCTCCAGTTGAGGATCCATCGATGATTGGCCTTCGTTGCCACCCTAGAGGAAAGATAAATATTTATTAACATACTGTAATTTTCCTCCATAAAGACCAACACTATTTCTTTTAACAAACTACAGTTCCAAAAGGCACTAAAGAAAAAAAAATAATTTCGACGAGTATAGCGTGTGGTGTATTTATTGCATTGGGATGTCGTGCCAAGTTTGGTTAGAACTGTTCGATCTTCGTGTGAGTGTTATGTCACTTTGTTTTGTAAAACAATTACAAAACTCAAACTCCAGAGCTTGAACAACAGTACCAACCTCGTATCCTTCCTTTATCAGTTTTGAATTCAGGAAAGAAATAAAAGTTGAATTACAAAAGTTCTCTCAACATAAATGAGAGCAAATCGATCAATTTTGAGAAAAACGACATGCAGATTCAATTAAATCACAATAAATCGTATCTCAATGTAATACCCAATTTGCGTATTGATTAAAGTACAAGTATAAAACGTTAATATAATTAAATTGTGATTAGATTAAAACCACCACGCCTGTTACGATTCACCAAAAACAAAGAATTTTTAAGTCCGTACACTTTCGCAAACTCACCCGCTGCTTATCCTAAAATAAATTAAATTGTACTGATAGAGACATAACTTCCAATAAGTATTACTTTCATATCTGCGAATATAAATACGAAGAGTGAACCGAATCGACCTTTCATTCTCAAGCCAATTAATAATTACCTCGCCCTCGCCATTGGCCTGTTCTGTCGATTTCTCTGGATAAACACCTGCCCTAAGGAAGGACGCCTTCCACGAATCGACGTCATCCTGCGTCTCGCAACTAAGCTCAAGCTGCTTGTAATCCTTATACACGTTTCTGCCTTCAGGATTGAAGAGAGCAAACAAATGCCGTCGAGACATGAAGCCCTGCTCCAAATCTCGCAACTTCAATCCATCCAACGGCAACATGTACTTCTTCTCACGTTCCTGCGACAGAGCAAAAGCAAAAATATTAGAAGAATGAATATTTACAAGTAAATAGATTGAAATCACGTGAATGATTTAATGAGGTACTAACTTCTTCATCCTTGAACCAGGAGATGCTTTCTGAAGTCAAGACAAACCAGTAGTCCCTGGAGCCACCCTTCATGATACCCAAATTATGTATGCACATATAGCCTTTGCGGATCACTTGATTGCCCAATGTGTGTCTTCCAGCTTTAACCGCGTTCTCTGAGGATTGCTGAGCACTGTAACAGAAACAATATTGTACTATGAAAAGCTGGATGAAGAAGCGCAGTGTGCAGGTACTTCAATACTTAATTATTATCTTAATTGTCACGGAAAGTCATGTATCTGGTATCAACTGTCAACCATCAAGACTAGCAGAAGAAAAGATTCTAGCGCTTCACGTGTAAGAAGATCCAAACACAAGATCAATGGGAGGGAACAAAAACAATACCGAGTCTTCAGCAGAAGCTTCTAATAAAATCAGTAAAAAGCTCCGCTATTCTAGAAAATTAATTTTCTGAATCACTGTCATCTCATGTAATCTCATATTTTTTCTCTTCTTTTTTTTTCATCAATGGGAGGGAACAAAAACAATACCGAGTCTTCAGCAGAAGCTTCTAATAAAATCAGTAAAAAGCTCCGCTATTCTAGAAAATTAATTTTCTGAATCACTGTCATCTCATGTAATCTCATATTTTTTCTCTTCTTTTTTTTTCTTTTTTTTTTTTTTTTTTTTTTAATGCGCTACCATTAAAAGTTGTGTGATCAAAAACGGTCGTAAAATTTCTGATGCGTGATGTAAATTAAAGAGGAAGGAAGAAATTTTAACTAAAGCAAACTAAAAGACGTATACGAGCATGCTGACAAAAAGCTATTTGGACGAGGCTGCGAAGACAAAGTATATAGGGTGGAGCATTTATGATAACCAGGTCATTCTTTTTTTTTTCAGAAACGAAGCCAGATATAAAAAAGTGTTTCAGACAGAAGTTCTAGGGTTTCAAGAGGCACGGAAGACTTCGTTATTAAATTCATTCCTGAATGTAGGCGTATTAAGGTAATTCGAAAGTAAACTTTCATTTCTTCAATGTAAGATTCAATTTTTCTTCCAGAAATCAGAAGAGCATTCAACTTCGAGAAAGGAAAATTGCATCATTCCATTGAAACAAAATTAAAGTTGACCTTCGAATTACTTTAATGCCTGAACTCATTAAGGAATTCAATAACAGAATCTTACGTCCACCTTGAGATCTTACTTCTGTCTGAAACACTTTTATATCTGGCTCAGTTTTCGAAAAAAATCAATGTGTTCACTATAAATGCCCCACTCTGTATTATATACATAATCGCACAGTATCCTGCACACTGATTGTGAGTTTATAAAACAGTAGTAGCTGTATACACGTTGACAGCGTAGAGAAAGAATACTGAAAGTTCATAAATACAGTGTAAACATAAACAGGAATATAAAGCGCTAGGAAGTTAAATAAATAAATATAAAAAAGAGAAATTTTCTGTGCATTAGATGACAGGTGTATGTCCTATCCCTTACAGCATCCAGAAATAAAACTCTGACGTAACTCAACGAAACGCACATAAGAAAAAAAAGAAATCCTTGATGCATTCACATGTCGCAAACATACATGATGTACAAACAACGTTCGAAATGGTGCATCGTTACATACACACAAGTTACATCTCACTAAAGCACCATAATAACTTAATGAAATAATCAATAAAACACAGTGAAGTAGACTCAAGTAAAGTAATAATAAGTGCCCGGTGCAGTGGTGTAGGATAGTATGGGAAATAGAAAAAAAAAGATGGATACAAAACTAAGAACAACTAATGTACTTCGTACTGTTCGTGCCTAATGAAAATAGAAATACACAAAAAAAGGTTTGGGAATGGAGAGAGGATACCTGTGACTGTATATTTCGACTATCGTTAACGCGCAATTAAACACATTTTTTCCTCCACTTTATACCGTACTAAAGGATGATTAATAAGGTTCAACCTAATTTTACACAAAGCTAGTACAAAAATCGTCGACTTGATAAAATTAAAATTAACGACGTTAATTTGGAATACGTGAAACTAAGAAAAAAGTGCTTGAAAATATATCTTTATTATACATAGGTATTTTGATAGTAACTTTGTACGCAGACAGATGAGATGACGAAATGGTTATGTGAAGGGAGGCAAGGCTGAAGCGAAACGGAAAATAAAAATGTAGAAAAACGGCGACAGAACGTGTGATTCGTGTACGAGTTAGATAAAGAGAAAGGTATAAGAATAAACAAAATAGAAGGAAAGAAACAGATAAAGACAGAGATAAAGATAGAAGATGAAAAAGAGAATATGTAGTGTAAAACCTCCGTTTTCGATGTAGGTTGATGTTCTTACCTTGCATTATGGCTACTGGCCGCCGCGCTGCCGGTATAATTAAATAATTGTTTTTATTCGTGAAATACAATATAGTTGATCATGGAAATAGAAATATATGTTGGAAATAAAATGTTACGCTGTGTAGGGCGTGGCATGAATATCAGGCAGCATAAATTACATTAAAAATTGTACACTTTGACATATGAAAAAAAAAACTTGGATATGAAATGGAATATCGAATATACGAGTATGAAATCTATTCTAGCAAGAGTCCTTCACGTTGATTACATGTGCACCGGGTGGTCTTTCGTACGAAAATACATTCGACTATTAGTAGCGTATTTTCATAGCAAAGAAGCGATCTTACTTTATATTATCCATTTTGGAACTCTTGCTATTTTTGTAATGTTCAGGAAATAAGTTCCAGCGCTGCCTGCTACTTCAGCCAGTACATTGTAGTATTACCAGAAAGCATTTACATGCGACCAGTTTCTAAAGCATTGAAATATCGCGAACCACAAAAAGAAGTTTGTGATCAGTTGAGATATAGTTGAACAGCATGGAATTTTGATACTTAGTTCAAGTCGAGAATTACGACAGCTCTTTAGGAGACATTGGGAAGGAAGTAAGTAGGCAAGGAGCAAAAGAGATGTGGGTAACCTAAATTAAAGTCACATGAAACAAGTGAGAGGATCGAATAAAGAATTAGAGCGCAATGAGATGAAATTTCTAATAGAAAAGAAGAATGTAAAGGTACTTGATGTCAGACTTTGTTCTGTCCAACTTATTAAACACAGATATGTACTGACAAATGTTAGGAGTTAGGTACAGAGTGTCTCAAAATATATGGATAAAGAAAGAGCTAGTGACTCAATTACTTATAAACTATCACTTATCCATTATCGAGCTATGGATATGTGCAACTGTGCCATAGAAAAAGAGTGAGCCAAGACCTCAGTGAAAATCTAGTTTAATCTGGCCAAGTGATTCTAGTCAGGAAGACATGCACAGATCATGAAAAAGTTACGCTGGCATATACCAACACTAACTAAACAACTGCGGGTCTAAGATCTAACTTAAAGAAAAACAGAACTCAAAATAGAATAGCTAAATCCTTTGTCATCCTTAAATCCCATCATAGATAATAAGTAAGATATTAATAGTACAAATTTCTCATACACCTACTTAACATAAAATGAATGTTAAGTAGATTATTAAAGTCAGTTTTCTTATTAAGCAGTATATAAGCAATGTATATTAGCTAGACTTTACAGAAATCTGCTATATAGAACTAAAAGATTCTCTTAAGAGAGTAGTGATATTCGTAAAACACACAATGCAACTGCTAACTGACAAACAGAAGCCAAAAATAGACAAAATTATGAAAAAACAGTCTTCCATTTATGAATCCCACAATCAAGTAATCACCCCAAACTAATTTTAGACGATTTATGTTCATCAATTACTTTGATTTCTTCGCAACTATATTGTAAGTGCAGAAGATCAAAATTCAGTGCAAGGCAGTACTAGAAGTTGCTTTTGAGTACTTCGACACAAAAAAAAGTCTAATGTGCTATTGTTATATGCTAAGCAATATGGCGAAGAAACTTCACAGAGAATAAGTTGGAAGCTACAGTTAAGACTAAAGCAAAGATCACCTTGGTGAACACATAAAACTCTTCAGTTCAAACGTTCCAAGTTTTCCAATGTCACTGATTAACTGCAATGATTTCATAGTAACTGTTTAATAGAACTGGTACGTTTAATCTGAATGGTCCTGCGTAATTATGACGAAACCTGAACAAAGAATGAAAGTAGGAGTAAAAAAGGAAGAGAAACAGAAGAAACCAAAAGTAGAAAAATAAAAGTAATACAAGGCATCTATGCATTTTTAACGTTATTGGGTAATTTGGCTAAGGATTTTTTCCAAAACGGTGTATATTCATAAACCGCAACGTGTTCGTTCTAGTTCGGTGCGTTTTCATAAAAAGAGAGACATGTAATTATTGAAGCATCACTTACTTGGCAAACCCAATAAAGTCTTCGTGATTTGTGTTCATATAGGCAAGCTCACAATCAACTAGAAGCACCAGCTGCTCCTTACACATCTGCTCCCTCTGCCTGACGTAGGTGGTTATAATTCTCTCGGTCTCCTCCCTTAATCTAGGATACCGTGACATCTGCAAAAATATTTTTTTTAAATTGTTAAATTATAGTGAACCTTAGAACCTCAGGGAAATTAATCTGACGCAATGATGTTTAATAACGATCCTTACCCGATCTGTACAAATGCGCACAACGTTGCTAAGTTCCTGTACGACTAGGTCCACACATTTGAGACTGGGCTCCTTGAGCCTATTTATTTGCTTTTTGACTATAGCCTCGAAGGCCATATCCGGAGTGAAGAGACCAACCCTGATACCTGGGGTAAAGGTACAACGCCATATGTGATACTCAATATTCCGATGATTTAAGGAACTTTAGACTTGAAGTAGATTTGCAGCATGGATGAGAAGAATTGCCTACCATGAATATTTCTGATGGCGAACGCTATCTCCCTTCGTAGTTCCTTCTCATCAAATTCCATCTTAACAATTTCAAATGGGAAACGCTCGTGAAATAATCTGTTTATCTTAGCACCGCCACTCAGCTCATTGGTGTTGATTTGCGCAGAGCCCGAACCTTCGATAGTCCTTTCAAAATCCGATTGGAGTTGTTGTATCATCCTTAAAAAAAGTCTTGCATTTAACGATAGCTCTGATTTTAATAAGCATTTAGTTTTGTTATCGTATTACATGGGTTATGAAATATTAACACTTGTTAGACGACACACGAAGAATCTATTACTGTATATTCGGCCCAAGAGCAACCAGATTAATAAACCCACAAGTATGTCTATTAGTGAATATTTTATGTAGAATAGTCATGTGCAGGTCAAGTTATAAAAGCGTATTTTGCAAGAAAATCATTTACAAGATTTAACACACATTAATTACCGTAGGACCAATTAAGAAACTGAATATAAGTCATACGTACGCATACTACAGTTTCTCCTCTAGTCCCGAGTTCATGCTACTCAATCCCATGTTAAGTAAAAAAAAAAATGATCCCTATCATCTTGTTAGGATATGGTATTTCATGCAATAATCAATCGACTACAAGAAAAAATTCCAATAAGGAAAGGAGGATACCTACATATACAATTGTATTGATCTGAAAAATAACAGAAAAAAATTTCTAAAATTTAAAGGCCCTCCACCATAATCCAGAATGAAATTCTCTAAAGATCCAACTCTCGTTCCCATTGCAAGAGTGCGAAGACGCAAAAGCGTAATGATACGCATGCCGAGATATTGAAGACGCGTATTTCACGTGGGTGAAAAGTACAAAGCTTTCGGATAACGTAGTTACATCCGGTACTCGTTGAACTTCGGTTGCTCTTGGGAAAATCACTTACTGCAACATAGCCTTCGTTTTTATGGCCGGATCGTCGGGCCTAAAATGTTTGTATTGCTCGACATCTTTTTCCAGGGTGAGCAACTGCTTCTGTAGACGATCTCGCAACGCAGGAAGAGTATCCCTGATGTGATTCGTCAGTTGCTGATTAAGAACTCTCTGTAAGTACGGCGTACCTAATCTGTCTGCAAGATGCCGATAGGATGGATGACTAAAAAATAAAACAATATATTATCCCTTGCAGCATCGGACTCATCCTCAATTGTTTCAACAGGATACGATTGAGAATTTACGATCGCGTGGGTAGACGTACCTAAGGAAGAACTTTCGTTCAGCTGCCAAAGCATTCTTGATATCTTTACGACCTTCGATATCTTTCTGGCTTCTATTTACAACGCCTATGTAACCTCTTCGTAACGGTAACAGCTTGTTTTCCAAGATGTCCCTCGCGTCGGTGCCATCGTCCATAAGATCCAGCTTAGTGATAACACCGATCGTGCGTACTCCTTTTATTTAATTTTTTTAACATTAAAATTGTTGAAAACTAAAAAGACGAGCATTATTTAGGAAAAAAAATTTCTTACCCTGAGGATCAACCTCTTTTGCAAGCTTGAGAGCATCGCTGTTCGCCAAATCGGTATTCGCTGGCGTGACAGCTAATATAAGGCAATTATCCCTTTTTATGAATTGGAATATCATTCCCTTGATTTGTGCTTCGATATCAGCTGGCTGGTCGCCGATCGGAACTTTTGTCAGACCGGGTAAATCGATCAAGGTCAAGTTAAGAACTGGAAGAATAATTTTAAGTAGCATCAGCATCAATCATACATATTAAATCATATAAATGCAAAATTAATTGATTAAAGTACTTATTAGTAAGAATTCAATTTTACCATTAGGGGAATAGACTCGAAGGTTAATGGGTATGTTGGAAATACCCTTGTTGCTGCCAGTAACCCGGTCCGTTTCAGCTTCGATTTCACGACGGACCTCATCGAAATCAACAAACTTTTTTCCTTTACAATGCAAGAACTCGGCAAACTCTGAAATAGTAAAAGAAAGAAATAACATAGTTGAACGAAAAATCCGTTCACAACTGAAATTCATCTCCATGTCTTATCACGATATCAAACTTCAAACATAATCATAATATCTTAGGTCTACGTCACTGGGAAAACTTGAATATGCGGATTCGCTAGTGAACCGAGGAGGTGACAATGTACCCAATTTCCTGCTTATCACTAGCTGGGACTCACAGGAAGTATGATAGCTCGGGACATGCTGGAACGAGGAGATGAAACGTCTGGTTTATATTAATTCTATCAAACGGGACTTTAATTAACGTCTCCCCACACGAATGACCGTTCCATCAAAAGAAATTATTTTCAAAAATTAATTTTCAATTCGTTATCATCAATACGAAACATGATCGTACAAAAAATTATTCGTTACGAATGTGTTATTAAAACGAAACCGGTACTATCAATTGCTATTAAAACTTCAATGAAGTCAACGAATAAAGTAATTATATTAACAGGTCACAGGGACGTATGATAAAAATATCTGAAGTCAATCTTGGGTCAATGGGTCAATGGGATGATATCGTGGGCTTTATCAATCTTTTAATCTACTATTATTCCTCACTTACCTGCGACCTGCAACACTTGTCTGTTTTTAAGAAAAGTCTCAAAGAGCAACTTAACTGACACATATTTAACCCATTGACCCCTTATAGGAGCATTACGCATAGCGACACTAATCGGAGTAACAATTTTCAAGTTGAGTAACCACAGATCAAGATATAAACAGATACTGTATTTAAGCTCAGGCTATTAAAAATTTTTTATGCAAGGCCTTTCAATTTATATTAATATGCATGTAAATTAAGGGAGAGCGTATAGAATGTCCCCATACCGCTCGAACAATATAGGTCGCCTAATAAAATAGATTGCATCTACAAAAATCTCATTCATAATAAATAACGTTGTTGAAACGTAAATGGTTAAAGAAATAATTAGTTTATCATGAATGACTTGCCTGTGATGCTGTGAATTAGCTGCAGAATAAGAGGTCTTCTAGTTACAATACCTGAACCTCTTGGTAAGAAATCTCTGAAATACAAAAATGTAGGTGTGAGTACAAACTGAAGTACTATTTTAGAAACTAGCGTCACAATTAATTGCACGCTGAAGTTAGAAACATGACAAAGAAAAAGATGCTGTCATACGACTGTTCATTAGTACGATCCACTTACAACTAACGTAGTTAATTCAGGGCCATTTGTGAAAAATAATTGAAAACAAATTTTTCTCTTTTAAAATCGAGTTCATTCTTACGTAAATCAGAGAATGTTTAAACTCGTTAGAATAATGACAAGAATTATGGCATGCCAGGAAAACGTGAGAAGCGGCACTGTTTATTCAATGAATAACGCAAAAACAGAGAAATATCTGTTTAGACACGTCAGACAAATTTAGAATATCAGAGAATCACATTTACTGATTTATTACTGAAGATATCGATATACATGTAGTGTTAGATAGGGGTAGATAGGATTTTCAAAGTTGCGTAGACAAAAAATTTTTAAATCGACGTTATTGTTTCAATTAGATCTAAAATGCCTTATCACGGCGTTCATAAGACATAAAATTTAAATTCTAGGAAGTTATCTTCAAGCATCCAGTGGGCATAGTGGCGTCGCGAGCGTTTGACAGTCTAGGACAGGAGAGAAGTGGGCGCCCTGACATCATCGAGCGGCGCTTGAGATTTTCGTTGTTCTCTGTCACAAGGAGGATCTTTTAATTCATATAAAATAGAATTTCATGAAATTTAATCCAATCAAAAGCTATCAAAGGTTGATACGTGAAAGACGATGCGCCGCAGTGATCGCCACGCCTTACGCCTCTGCCAAGAGAATCGACAGCTAAATAATCGACACGGAACTGAAGAGACAAGAGAATGGCGGTGGGTGGATGTTAGTGTGTTAAACAGAGAAAATACAAAAATAAGAGGGACAATGAAAAAGAATACAATTAAAAAAGAAAAGAAAGGTGTACTTACTTGCCAACGAAGTTCTCAAGTACTGAACTCTTTCCAGCACTTTGACCACCCACTACCGCAATTTGCGGTAAGTCCAGCTGCATATGCACACCGAGTTGTGTGAATGCATCTTGGAGTTTATTCACAATTGGGATCAACTGCTCCATCCCTACGTTCCCTGCCATTTTTTCGCACTAGGAGGCTTGCACTCTCGTAGATGAACAGTTAAATGCTTCACGTATTGTGTACGTCGATAACAAACGGAACAATGATTCGTAGCCAAGAGAGAACTGGCACCGACCGCCACTGACTGCGATCAACTGCCAACACCTCCGTGGAGGACGGTAAGCCTGGCCCCGATGGTATAACAGCCAACGGTTCTCCTGACTTCTGCTATCCCCTATTAGTCGTACACTTAGCTTGGATAGTAGCAAAATGGCCGATTTCGCGAAAGACACACCGCACCGCACACACCGCTACTCCACAGTGCCTCACCGCATCTTATTTAGCCGCGTTAACACCGGCCTAGAGACATTAAGAGGCACTAAAGCCACCGAGAAGAATACACCACTCCTCACTCGGCAGCCACTACGCTCTACGTTCTCCTACGTTCCACTAGGTCCCTCGAGGGAGCGCATAGACGAGATCCTGCGTCCAGATTCCAGATTCTGGACGCAACGCTGCTTTAATCGATAATCGAAGCTTGCGCACTAGCAGCCCGACCGTCCTGACCCACTTTCAGAAACAAAGATAAAATCCATATCGGACTTTTCGACTGGCTCTCCCGAAAGAAGACTCCTACTGTGGCGCCTCGAACTGATTTACTGTTCCGATCAATTCCAACTCATAACACCGCGATTTTAATTCGATTCAAATTGTTTACATTAAACGAAACCGATCATTCGTGCGCGATCGATATTTCTTCCAACGTAATGACATCGATTCTCTTTCTGCCAAATCAGGCCGTTGCCCTGCGCCATTTTATAAACGAAATGTCCCTAATATTACTAGGGAATTTTAGACCGCCGTGGAAAAGATACAATATTATGCTTGATTCATAATGGTTACGACAGAAAATGGACATGGACCATTGTCCAATAAACAAATTGTTTTCCAAAAACAGCAGAACCGATATCACACATGTTAAAATAGTCAGTAAATATATACCGATTTACTCAATATTGAAATTAAAAAAATAATATAAGTAATATTGTACATTATGTACATATATACATATATATTATGATTAAATAAACTAAGTCGTACTTTTACATTAAATGTTTAAATTTCATAAATTTATGTTATCTAATACTGGGAATGAATTTTGACAGGTTGGCAAAGGTGGTTTCTTACATTATAGATGTACAACGAGTAATTTAGTTATTTTGATAACTTTATGGAATTTATTAAAATAATTGTTGCAAGTCAAAATTTTAGGTGCCTCACAATGTATATAAGCAGATAGCAAACAAATAGTCGATCCCAATAGGGTCGATATAGGTAGTAACTAATAAGGGTAGCCAAAAGTTTCCGAAAATACCCTAACAAGGCCTGTTTTTATTCTCAAAAATCTTCGGGGACCTTCTTTTTAAAATCAAATTCTTAAACCCGTGGGACCTTCCTCGCCGCCCTCATTAATAAATAATTGTTCTAGTTGACACGAGATATAAAGACAAATAGAATCAATCCGATGCTCTACTATATATTGACCTGTACGCCGGGATTGCCCTTCCACATCAACTGCTTAGCAGGTCAAACCCCAGCTGTGACCACACGGCAAACTTGCGGATACTTCAACAGGAGTCCGTATTTTTCGTCGGGAATGCATGGTCAGTTATGTAGCGAACTAGTGTATTGATCCTCACTCCACTATCCGGTCGACGCCTCTTCAGGAAATCATTTTACTTTTTCAGATTTCAGGTTACGTTTTGTTACTTCCTTTATTTAACAACAGCTACGCTACAGGGTCATACACACTTATTATATAACTATGAATGAATATATGATTTTTTTTTTTGGTAGTAGCGAATTAGGCCATCATAGAAGAGTCTTACGAAGAATATCTTTATTGTTGATTTTTTATTTCTGTTGTTGGTCATTCCTATCTCTTTATAGTTTCACAATATCTTCACAATAATTTTAAAATAAATACTCATAAGCAACAGATGAAAATAATCCATTTGTAATTTTTAATTTTGAAAATCGCTGTGTCAGACAATACACATATTTCAATTTTTGAAACTACTGTCAAATCCACAGAGCATGTGACCCAAAATTCCATAGGGTTGACTCCCTTTGTTGTACTTTTTCCACGATTGATTCAGTGGAAATTCCATGTTGTGGGGGGCGCGCCTAGTACTATTCGACGTTACGAATCCAAAATGTCAGACATCGATAAATGGATAGATATTACAAAAGAGTGCAAATACTTGCCAGAAAATGACCTTAAGGTAATAATTAGAATAAAACATTTACTAGCGTGAAAACAATTTTCTCAATATTTCATAGGTTGCTTGCTCATGGTGCTCTAATGTATAGGTGTTATAGGTTACTCCTGCCCCAATAGTTTTATTATGTTCGCCTTTGTCGACAGAAACTCTGCGACATGGTCTGTGATCTTCTCTTGGAGGAATCGAATATTCAGCCTGTGTCCACCCCAGTAACTGTTTGCGGCGATATCCACGGCCAAGTGAGTTTGTACTATTCCTGCTAACCTCTAAGATTATTCGAGCGATACTAGCGCGGTGTTGCTCCGTTATAAATTCTTGAAGTTGTTCATTTTAATAAAAGGAACTGATTTTTTGCATTGTAGTTTTATGACTTGGAAGAATTATTCCGTAACGGAGGTCCAGTGCCAGATACAAACTACATATTTATGGGGGATTTTGTGGACAGAGGATATTACAGTTTAGAGACTTTCACGCGCCTATTGACTCTTAAAGCTAAATGGTCAGACAGAATAACATTGCTGCGTGGAAATCATGAATCTAGGCAAATCACACATGTCTATGGTTTTTATGGTGAGTAATTCTTTGCTTTGTATAACGATGTCATAAGTTACATATGATTCCATATTTTTTTTATTCAATAGATGAGTGTCAAAACAAATATGGAAATGCTAATGCATGGAAGTATTGCTGCAGAGTATTTGACCTTCTCACAGTTGCTGCCGTAAGTATGATAACGAAAAATACATAGTATTACTTTATTGTGACACATGCATTTTTCTGCAGTTAATCGATGAAGAAGTCTTTTGTGTTCACGGTGGTTTATCCCCAGCCATTAAAACGCTAGATCAAATTAGAACTATTGAGAGAAATCAAGAAATTCCACACAAAGGTAACCTTACAGTATCATTGCAGCATGTAAATTTTTATATCTCAGAAAAATATATATTTAATCGTTGTACCTTGTTAAAGGTGCTTTCTGTGATTTGGTCTGGTCAGATCCTGAAGACGTAGAATCTTGGACGATCAGTCCCAGAGGGGCTGGTTGGCTCTTTGGATGCCAAGTAACACACAAGTTTATGGAAATTAATAATCTTCAGTTAATTTGCAGAGCTCACCAACTAGTTCACGAAGGTAATTACTATGAATACTAATGTCACATAACGGTTCAAGATTTTATAACAGATTGAAACCAACAATTTGATAAGTATATCTCTGCGTACTTAAAAAATGATTTCTATTTCTGTACACAGGGTTTAGATATATGTTCAACGACAAGCTTGTGACTGTATGGTCTGCACCAAACTACTGTTACCGGTGTGGCAACATTGCCAGCATTTTGCAATTTACAACAGTAGACCAGAGAAGCGCTGTCTTATTCCAAGCTGTTCCTGATTCCGAGAGAGTGATCCCATCCCTAACCACCACCCCATACTTCTTGTGATCTAACTTTGCGCTCCATCTGTTTGGATGCAGAGGAGCGGCGTTTGGGTCTAGGCCTCACGGAGTTACATGATTGCTTCTTGGTCGATGAGTCCAGCTGATGCTATGAGAGTGCGCGACATCTTTAAGTGCATTATTTTCAACATTAACATTTTTAAAAATCTACTTATCTATCCTGTTATCGGATTTTCATAACATCGTGACAGCAACGACATACGATTATACAAAATTCTACCGTGCAAATGATTCCGCACGATGAACGAAGGAATATCCAATATTTTTCCTTATCTTTTATTTTTTTTGAAAATTATGCCATGTTTTTTTAAAACTTAGAAGCTAAACGCTCCTAAACAATAAAAAGCACTTGCCATCGCATCAGGCTGAGATCTCCCACGACCGAAAAGAGACACTCGCGCCAAAATAATCGGGAGCTCGTACACGAGAAACAGCATACACACAGAGAAAACAGAGATAAACAGACAGACAAACAAGGAATAAACAATTAACTTAAACAAAGAGACAAGCAAGAACAATCGGAGATACACCGGATACACGCACACTCTGTGGTCTAGATGCTTTTGCTGCCTACTGTGTACATTCTGTGTAGAGCATTCGCAACTCGAAGCAGCATTATGGACTTGTTCGGTAAGCTGAGAGCTTTTAAATAATTTTTAAATATGAGGAGCCATTGGTCCAGCAATGTAAAGGCAAATCAATAGAAAGCAACTATTATTCAAACATTCCGGCAGGAAGAAGGCTCTGGGAACGTTGAAGACTTTGGTATTTGGATCACTGTGCTCGGAATTCAGGTTTACTGCGTTTTGTCAGCATAATTAAATACTATAATTACGGTCTTCCGGAGAACGTAATATAATCGATCCACTTTTTTTTTACATAGTCATTTTTTTCTTTAAACAATTACACGATAACTGAACTCTTACTTTTCCCCACGTACAAAATAGATAGATCCCAAATTCCAATAAGCTCATCGAACGACCTTTCGCGCAGGCGCGCCCAATCCCATTATCCACGATTACATCGGCTGTAAATAATAAATGGCCAAAGAGCTAAAAAAGCGATATTGGCAACCGACTAAGTTCGTCTCTTAAAATTGAACAAAAATATATATTTTCTTTATAATATTTTATCATATACTTATCCCAAGCTCGTGCGTACGTAAAATGTATTAGCTAGTCGGTGAAATTCATAAATTCATTCCTTCATCCAGGTAGGGAGCAAATTTTTTAATATCGAAAAGACCCTTAGCAATGTGCCTCTAAATTGATATAAGCGTTCGTGTAATATAACTTACTTAGATACTCGATAATAATAACGTACCGAATAGCGTAAAAACGCACTGGGTGCTTGCTTACGACGAACCTGAATTCTGGCACCGTCGATTCGCTTGTTCGCGCGGCTGATACACGATGCAACATGACGTTCAACGAAACAAAAGACATTGATAAATATACCAATAAATTCTCCTGCTCGATCACAGACCCATCGAACACGACATTAACGTTGACACTGGCTGTCAGGTTAAACTGTCTGCTCTATTTTCGATTTTGTGATATAGATGGAAATGAGGCTGACAAAGGCTGCGATGACTTTTATAACGTGCAATCCCACTCTCGTATCCTCCATTTAATATCAATTTCTCAATAATTACTCCTACAATCGATTAACCATACAAAAGTAGCTATACCGGTTACTCGGAGCCAAATTCGATCACCTTGGGTCTCCTGTGATTTATTTATTGCACTACCGGCCACCCTCCTGTCCCATCTATTTTTTTTTTTCCTTTCACCAATAGCCAAATAAGTGGGCGTCGTCGATCCTTAATTCACCTTGTCAGGATCGAAGACGTAAAACTCACGTTGTAAGCTCGAGCCTCTCGTTTGGTAGCCTCCGGTAGACGGTAGAGGGTAGAAAGTAGAAGGTAACGCACCCAGGGACGGTCACTGCTCGAATGCCTCTAGGGCACGGACCACCTAGACATTCTTCAATAGTATTAGCTTCCGGTACCGCTGAGGCATTCGCAGCTTTCGCCTCCGAAGATGCCTCTGTCTGTGATCGCTTTAGCCTTACCGAAGCGTCCGGGTGAGCTGTTCTCGTCGTCGTCGTCGTCGTCACTGCTGCTCGCACGCTCCGCATAATCCTTAACGATCTCACAGGTAGACACCATTGTAACGATTATCATGTACCTTGAAAGTATAGAACTTTGTTATGTTAACGTAATAAAACGTCTGTAATAAAAATACGTGAAAAAAACAAATACACACAATCTCGTCCGACACTCTCCTTAACTCGCTGTACTTGGAATAAAATTGAAGACCCTCTTCGCAGGTTAACAACAAAGACACTGAAACGAAGAGACGATTTCTGTACGCGGTCATGATGAGGAGAAGGGGTAAGGAATACACGTCACAGCCAATGATCACATCGTTCGGTTTATTAATCATTTAATCAGTTTATTTACTCGTAATTATTATTCTTCGTCATATATATAATAATTCTATTTACTTCCTACTATTTATATAATAATATAGCGTATTTATGTTCATTATGTATAATATATTATCTACATTTATAATCCCTATGAAAGGCATCTCCAAACAGACTTCAGATTTATTTTTTAAAATATCTTATTTATTCATAAAAATACAG